GTGCGAAGTGCGGCAATGCCATATACAAATTCGCTACATTCTATATTTAAACATATTTCTATAGACTAGATGTTCTTAATCAGGTGTCACTAGTCCAAATGAGGATCAACCGGAATCAAGATTTTATTATCGTTTATTTTTACTTTTGCCCGCGATATCTTCCGCTTGGTATAGTTACTTTGGGCAGCTAAAATGAATATTTATTCATTATATCGTGTAAAATTCCTGAAATAAAGTTTTATGATTTTGTGTTTGACAATATTTTTTATTTTATTTATATATTTTCTCATCACAAAGGTAGTAAATAAGTTGAAGTACAGAGTTCCAATTACCAGAGTTACCTTTGTGAGAGACTGGAGTCTGCGAAGGAACCGATTATGGCCTGAATTGCGGATCACCAGGCCCCCACATCAAAAAAATAAACCTATATGTAGTTATAAGAAAATATTACTTAATTATTACAATTTGAGCGCGCATGCGAGTGTGTATGTGTGTGTGTGTGTGTGTGTGTGTGTGTGTGTGTGTGTGTGTGTGTGCGTGTGTGTGTGTGTGTGTGCGTGCGTGTGCGTGTGTGTGCGTGTGTGTACGTCTGTGCTTGATAAACCCAATACATATAAAAAATGATCGTTATCATGAGACTACACGTAGCAGATTCTCTGTGGCATCGTAATCAAGTTGTTGTAGCCAGTTCTGAATTGACAATTTAGCTTTTCTTTTGTTATGCTTATAGATAGATAAATGTTTATTTATATTGTTATATAAATAACTTCCTAGAAAAATAAAGAAATTATGAGAAAATTTAGTGTTAGTCTGTGTACATACACAAACAGCATGAGTTCGTCTTCTATTATCTAAGAGACTTGGATTGTACTCTATCTGGCCGTGTTTCCTAAGAACTGTGTTTATAACAAAGAGTTGTCGGACTGTCATTACGTTACATCGCTTATAAAGGTCATTGGTGGGATGTTGAAAATCTAGACAGAAACCAACCTTAAGTACAGCTCTCTGAGCTCTTTCTAGTTTTAAGAGTGTAGATTTTGAAATACCCCCCCAGTTAGTAATACAATACGTTATTTGTGATTTACATAATGCAAAATAAATTAATCTAATGATGTGCTTATCGGTAACATGACGGAGAATTTTGAATATAATAATAATAATAATACACTTTATTGCACAACAAAGGAGAACATACAAGATACACATAGATAGCGAAGCAAATGGCGGCCTTATCGCTTAAAAGCGATCTCTTCCAGGCAACCGCAAAAAGGAAATTAGATACAGAAAACAATTTAGGGCACTGCTTTTGAGCAAAGTATACTTTATACATATGAACACATAATGCAATTAATTCACACACACACACATACACACACACACACACACACACACACACACGCACGCGCACACACACGCACACACACAAACACAAAAATTTAACTTACAAAAATTTTATATTATCTACAATAAATATTATTTAGATATACAGCACGTGAAAGATAGTATTCTGAAACTAATTTTTTAAAAATATTTAAAGACTGAGCACGCCTCGCAGCATCCGGCAGCTCGTTCCACAGACGAGCGGCGTGTACAGTAAAGGACCTGTCAAACACTGTCGATGAATGCATAGGCATCGCGAGTCTCGGGTTGTCCGATGATCTCAAGAGACGGGAGTGGGTGTTACAAAGAAATTGGAAACGCTTTTTAAGATAAGCAGGGGAAGCAGGATTATATAGGACATTATATAACAAAGAAACTATGTGAGCATTCCGGCGAAGTCGAATAGGCAACCATTTGAGCTCTTGACGATATTTTGATACATGATCATATTTACGTAATCCAAATATGAATATTATTGCGAAGTTCTGAAGTCGCTCAAGTTTATTCAGTTGCTCTTCAGTGAGATCAAGATAGCTGACGTCGGCATAATCTAAAATTGGTAAGAGGAGAGACTGCGCTAGCGTGATTTTTGTAGCAATAGGTAAAAAATTCTCAAGTCTCCTTAAGGATGCCGCCGAAGCAAACAGTTTGCGACTTACTTCCTGAATATGTGGTACCCAGGATAGATTTTTGTCAAGAAGCACTCCCACATTTTTAACACAGTCACTATATGATAATCTCACACCGCCGAATGTAATAGGCGGCAATTGCGACCATTGAATTTTAGATACCAAACTAGGACCACCCTGTGCCTGTGCCTTTAAAGGATTTTAAAGGATTTATTTTTAAACCAAAGGACACACTCCAATCACTGATTAAAGCTAAATCTGAGTTTATATTATCAACTGCCGAAGCCAAATTATCCAGAGAAGCTTGGGAATAAATTTGTAAGTCATCTGCATAAAGGTGGTATGATGAAAGAAGTTTATTGGAGACAGAATTAATAAATATGGCAAATAGTAAAGGAGATAAGACGCCACCCTGTGGTACACCAGCACAACTGTCGCACCAGGAGGAAAAAGAATCCTCAATGCAGACACGTTGACGGCGGCCAATCAGGTAACTACGAAACCAGTCAATCACCGTTGGAGATATGTTAATAGAGCGCAGTATGCCAAGCAGAATATCGAAGTCGACAGTATTGAATGCGTTGCTAAAATCTAGTAGGGAGAGAACTGTTAGTTTCCCTTTCTCCATGCCCAGTCTAATGTCGTCTGTGATATGAACCAAAGCCGTAGTAGTACTATGACCTGGACGAAAACCTGATTGAAAAGGGTTTAGGAGTTTATTCTTGTGCAGGAAAATGGACAGCTGGTTGTACAAAAGGCGTTCGAGGGCTTTAGAAAGGAAGGGTAAAATGGATATGGGCCTGTATTCAGAAAAGGAAGAAGGGTTGGATTTTTTAGGAAGAGGAGTAATCTGGGCATTTTTCCAAGCCGTGGGAAATACACCAGTATCGACGGAATGGTTAAAGATGTGAGTAATAACAGGGAGAATTTCATCTAGGATGGGCAGAATCATCTTACGACTAATGCAGTCACTTCCCACCGCATTGGAGCCTATGGACATAATGCTCTTCTTAACATCACAATCGGAGAATCGACGCACGATGAAAGGCAAATAGTCGGGGCTTGGTAGCGATGAAAGATTATTTAACGTATTCGACTTAATAGCCGGATCGAAGGAATAAGAAGTAGAAAAATATTGATTTATCAGATTTATATCTAAATTTGAAGATTCTAGACGTTGTTTACCAATCCCCATAGATCTGAGAAATCTCCAGACTTTGGCTGGGTCACCGTTATCAACGGATTTGTGAATAAATTGGCGTTGAGCAGTTCTACACACCTTATTGCAGTGATTTCGAATGTTGACATATTTTTCCCAGTTGGAGTTAGAAGGACGATGCTTATATTTGGCTTTGGCAGCAGCTTTCTTGGTAGATAGATGTTTGATTTCTTCAGTAAGCCACGGTGAAGGATGATGTCTCATTTTAACTGCTCGAATCGGTGCATGGACATCATATAAACGGGTAAGATTCGAAGCGAGAAGATCAACCATTTCATCCACGGACCCGCTGTCAAATAGTTGAGTCCAATCCACTTTGACGGCATCCTCACGGAGTTCATCGAGATTTATACCACTAAAATTACGCAGCATTATTACTTTAGGTTTCAATTTTGGAGGGCGTACTTTATACGAGAGGAAAATTAAATCGTGGTATGAGAAATTATCAGCTGAAAATTGTCCGTGGCGTGCAACGTGTTCTGGGGAAGAGACAATAATAAGATCTAGAAGTGAAGGGGAGCAGTTAGGAAATCTATGAGTGGCGTTTAAAGGTAGAGTAAATAAATTGCAAGATTGTAAAACGCTGCGAAGTGATGCCGACCGGGAATCAGCTTTTAGAAGGCAGGTGTTAAAATCACCCATGACAATGATATGACTGTAAGTGGGGGCAAGTTGTTCGAGTTTGATCTCAAAGGATGAGAAATAATTTATACGCGATGACGGGGAATAGTACACACCAAGGAGAAGTACTGTGTGTCGCAGCTTTACTTCTAGGAATAGGTGCTCACCGGCATTCGTTTGCGGAGGCTGTGGTGATACGTCAACAACTGAAAAGGGAATATGAGAACGTAAATAAATAGCGACACCACCGCCACCACCAGATGCCCGATCATTCCTGATGAGATTGAAACCGGGCAAAGAATAAGAAGTAGAAGGAAGACATGGTTTAAGCCATGATTCGGAGACAAGTATGGCATGAATATTCTTACAGTCCAGGTTCGTCAGCATATCTGAAAAATGAGCCGGAATGCTTTGTGCATTTATGTGGACAACATTGAAATTATTGGGAACATCGGAAAAACAAGACACAAGAGAATCAGCGAGGTTAGGAATACTGACGAAGCTATCCTCATTATCAGTGCAACTTAGAGAAGCAAAACTTTCAGATTCAACACTAGTATTAAGAAGAGACATCAAAATGAATATAAAATATTGAGTTTAACAAATAAATATATATATTTAAATGTTTATAAATAAACAATATGTATGTATATATGAATAAACTTACTTAAATATACAAAATAAGAACTTTGCTTTGCAAATGCCCACCCGCTAAGTGTTGAAAATTACAATTTCTATTAGTTAATTAGATACATTCTTAAAACAATTACTAACAACAACAAAAAAAAAATTATAATAATAAAATAAAACAAAGAAAAGAAAAAATGAAATTACAATTCGAATAAATGAATCCACAAAATGATACCATGCACATATACAAACAAGCAGAAGCAGGCCACTAAATGAAAACTAATAATATAAAAAAAACTAGGACGTATAAGCTAAGATTCCTTTGCGTAAAACGATATTATTAATAGATTTTTAACTTCGACAACTGTGTGTTAAATTAATTGACAACTGACATATCACTAAAAAAGTGTAAATAAAAACAAGCAAAAGCCTAAAGTATTAGCAAAAGCAGGATTATATTGGCAAAAACAGCATAAAGCGTAAAAAATGAGTAGTGAACCTGAAGTAACGAACCCAACCGTCTATTTCTTCGCGATAGCAGCCCGCTTTGTTTTCGGTGCAATCTTCGAAGTAACAACCGTCTTAGGCATAGCTGATTCGATAACTTGGAGATCCGCTAGGTCAGTGATGCGATGTCGAGTGTTATCTTGACCAAAAACGAAAACGTGTACCTCCCTAGTCCAGCATCTATCAATTCTGAGCTTTTCTCGCAATGTCATAAAGATGTTATAACATGCTCTAGTCAGAAACTCAGAAATGGTAACTCCAGAAGCCCTTAAACTAGACTTTTGGAACCATATCGTGTCTCGCGTAGTGACCTTTTGCAACTTGACAAGAATAGGTCGAGGTTTGTTGGTTGAAAGAGAAGAACGCCCCATTCTGTGACACCTCTTAATACAGCTTTGATGACATCGGCAACCACCTTCGACACAGCCTGAGAGCAGTCTTCCTGCTTCTTCTCTGGTATGCCATGGAATAACAACATCTTTCTACGTCCACGTATTTAAAGATGGTCTACAGATTTGGCTAGCAAGCGGATTTGGGACTGCAGAGTAGCCAGTGCTTTAGTAATGAAGGTCTTAAAATTTAAAAAAATCTGCTGCCAAACCAGATGGTGAGCTTGCAGTTGATGTGGATGGTGCTTTTTTCAGTTCAGCCTCAAAGTGGATCATTCTGTTATCGAATAGTTCCATCGTCTGTGAAAGGGACCGCTGAATTTCTTCCATTTTGTAATCTTGTGGAATTTAAAGGAGATAACACTAGAGCAGGTGGGTTATAGTGTTATTAAGTAATAGAGAGCATATATCACTTGTTAATTGCAATAATATAAAGAAATAAATATTTAAAATTGAGAGTGATTATATTTATCAACTTTCTTTTTTGACTACCCACCAAGTTTTACATATACATTAGTTTTCTAATTCTGGCGGTAATGAGATCTATGTGGTTATGAAAGCTTAATGTATTATCTATTACTACCCCCAAATACTTAATGGAATTTACTTTTTCTAATATTGGACACAAACAGTTGAAGTTTGAAGAATTATCACAAATATGAACTTTAATTGAGTTATCTAAATACTGGGGCAAGGAAGATTTTTTTATTGCAAAAGGAATAAATTTAGATTTATCTATGTTTAGAGATAGTCTATTAGTACTTAACTAATCAAAAACTTTGTCAAATCCAAGCTGAGCCCACTGAAAGACCTCACTCCATGATTCACCAGCAAATAGAAGTGCCGTATCGTCTGCGAAAGAAACAATCTTACCATGTGGGAGCTCCAGATCAAACAAATCGTTTATATATGCTAAAAAAAAGGGTAGGAGGACCGATTATGCTGCCTTGAGGAACTCCATGGGTTATTTGTCGGTAATCACTGCAATATTCACCTATTTTTACTTGTTAGACTCGATTGGTAAGATAATCAACCAGCAATTTTTGTTGCATTTGACGTATTCCTAGAGCTTCCAGCTTTTTTATCAAGAGAGGGACAGAAACTGTATCGAAAGCTTTAGCTAGGTCTAGAAATATTACAATCACTTTTTTGTTATGATCAAGGTTATCCACTATAAAATCTGTTAATACATGTACAGCTTCATTAGTAGATAAAAATTGAGAACGAAACCCGTATTGACAAGGAGATAACAATCTGTTAGTTTCAAAATATTTAATGAGTCTTTTATTTATTACTTTTTCAAAAATTTTAGAAATTGTAGGTAAAATTGATATTGGTCTGTAGTTATTGACACAGCTTCTGTCACCACTCTTGTATATAGGATGAACTATAGCTTTTTTGAAATCATTGGGAAACATCCCCGTTGACATAGAAAGCTTACATAAGTGTGTCAATATGGGGACTAGAATATCTCTGTAACGTTTTAAGAATGCTGATTGTATATTACCATACCCGCTGGCACAATTGTCTTTTAAGTTTTTAATTATTCTATCGATTTCACTATTATTAGTTGGTAGAAGAACAAAAGAGTGAGGATATGTTTTTAAAAGGGTACTATTGAAGGATTTTGAAGAATTTATTTTTTCTGCTAATTTACTACCAATATGTACAAAAAAGAGTTTATGTTATTGATTTCAATATTTGGTTCATTAGAGATTACATCTATTGGAACCTTTTTTAGATTTGTTCAAGTTAGATACATTTTTTACTGTTTCCCAGACTTTTTTGTTACTTTTTTTGGCGGCTAAGAGTAATTGGGATCTTTCGTATTGTCTCCTAAGGTTTTTCAAAAGTTGATTGCAAAAGTGACGGTATCTTTTGTACGTTATTTTTATTATTTCATTATTAGGATTTCTTTTGGATTTTTTATTTAATTGATCACGATTTTTAATACATTTAAGAAGCCCTGGAGTAATCCATGGTTTTAGTATGCGTTTCTGATTAGGTGTTTTAATACATGAAGTGTTTTTTGAAATTAATGTATTAAGTGAAGATAAGAGAAACGAGGTGGCGACATTAACGTCTTTTATAGAATATATAGTATTTAGATCTAGCTTTGAAATCTCGCCGTCAATTCTTTCGTAGTTGATTTTTTTAATAGTCGGAGCGGGTAGTGTTTTAGGATAAATGTTCTTATCAATTATTAAAATTAATGTATCGTGGTCGGTCAAAGAAGTTTCAGATACGTAACAGTGAGCCTTAAGTCTGGTTTTCAAAATAATGTGATCTAGACAAGTTTTATTATGTGTAGGTATGGTATGTAATTTGCATCGTTCAATATAGGTTCCTCCACTCTTAAATTATACACATTTATATAGTAAATTACTACACCCTCATTTTGTGTATAATTTTTAACTATAGTCTCACAACAGTACCCCTCAATGGAAGGAATAAAATGTGAAGACGGAAGCCAACATTCGGTTAAAATAAATATATCCCAATCTATTTTAGTTCTTCTTATAATTGTATGTAATTCCGGCATATTCTTTGTTATACTTCTTATATTTTGATGCAAAATTTTGAAAGACATGTGAGTGTTCGATATTAATTGTTTACAATTGTCAATATCACAGATTGATGAGGTAGCAATGGAAAAGTCGTCTAATTCAGAATTTATGATGTCAGAAACCGCGCCTTTTGATTATAATAAATATTTAAACTACAAGTATCAAAATCATTAATGAGGTTCAAAACATAAAGTTGTCGTTTGTAAACAGGGTAGTAAAACATACGCCTACAAATACTATAGACATTGATAAAATTGAGTTTATACCTGTTCCATTCACTTCCATTATAATAAAATAGTTTGAAAATGTAAAAGAATTTTGCATTAGGCCACGAAAAGGAAACACATAAATAAAGTCTTTTCCTATTCCGATATTTAATAGCAAATAATAATGTGGATACATTCAACAGCACTATCATGATCACAACAAATTGGTGGTTATATATATCAATGTAATTTAATTTACTGTGTAACTTTATTTTACATATTACTGAAATAATGCATTGGAGAATATCAAATGTAATATGTGGGTAAGTTGGGTGTATAAGATGTGTATGTGTAAAAGAAAGTTTGTTAAAGATTAATAAAATTATTTAAGCAAAATCGTTTTCATGGTAACAAGGACACATCGGAAACAACAGAAAGCAAAACATGGCTAGTCATGTAAATAATTTTTCGAGATCTTCCTCATGTTTTATGCGGATTGGAGGCATATCTTCTTTTTTCTTTAAGTAGACTTTCCCATACGACGTCCAGCAACCAACGCAACCATGTTTCCTTGCGAATTCTCTTGATAAAAAGTATAGTCGCCTATTTTTAGACGATAAAGAATCTGTTAGATAAATTGGCCTTGGAGGCCCATCAATAAATAAGTTGCTTGAATTCAGCTTGTGTTCCTTGTTCCATTTATTATAGGATATAGCGGATCTTATAATAATAATTTAAAGATCAATTCAAATAAAACGAAATGCATAAAGTTTGCATTACCTAATGTGAGGCATGTCAGTAAACTTATAAATGTAAATAGTGAAAAAGTTGAGTTAGTAGAATCGACAAAGTTCCTTGGTATTACACTAGATTCCCGACTGCAATGGGATCCTCATATTGATAGCTTGTCAAGTAGACTGAGTTCTGCAGCTTTTGCTGTTAAGAAAATTAGACTCTTGACAAATGTTGAAACGGCAAGATTGGTATATTTTAGTTATTTTCATAGTGTAATGACGTATGGTATATTGTTATGGGGTTCTGCGGCTAGCATTCAGGATATTTTTATTTTACAAAAGAGAGCTGTCCGTGCTATATATAATTTACGTCTAGGGAATCTATCAGAGAAATATTTAAAGAAATAAATATTCTGACTGTTGCCTCTCAATACATCTATGAGAATATTATGTACACAAGAAAACATTACGATTCCTTCACAAAAAAAAGTAGTGTTCATAATCTTTACACAAGAAATAAAAATAAACTTGCCGTTCCAAGCTTCAGACTTTAAAAAAACCAGAGGATCATTTCTGGGTAAATGTATTGCTATGTTCAATAAAGTTCCACAAAATGTAATTGACCTACCCATAAATAAATTTCAAATTCGAATTAATAGCCTTCGCTTTGTTCTATAAAGACTAATTATATGTTCAACCCATGTCCTACAGACTTTGAAAGTTGTATTTACTATTGTGATAATACATATTATTTTGGTAATAACATGGTTTATGAAAATGTCATTACTTATGATAAAAAGCTGGTAAGTTTCTTTCGCTTGTTCTTCTTGTCAGCTAAAAGACGTCCTGAACAAGTGGTAGGGGAAAAAAGTTTTTTTTGGACGATTCAAAAGTGCTTGTCATAGCCTACTTGAATAAAGATATTTTCATTTCATTTCATTTCAGTCTTCACAAGATCAGCGGTACTTTGTCGATAGTCAAGTTAAGTATTATAAGTTGGAAGAAGTATATGACATTTCGTTTACATACAATATAATAAACACTAAGTAAGATCGACATCAGAAAAACAATCTATCCTTTCTCATCAAAAAAACACGTCTGCACCGAAATTTAAAAGGAATATGTCATAAGCCTATAATGAAACACACTTATACAATTTATATAGGTCAAAAATAGCAAATGAATCATTTAAACTATTGGAGTTAAAAACATTCTAGAAACAACAATAAATAATACGCTTATCATATCTATCAATACACCTATTGTTTTCGTCAAGACTATTCATTTTCGCTGAGAAGGTTTTGCTATTGTTGTAAAAGGCGATTTCCTTTTGTTTGATTTTTGCTTTTTACAAGTAATGTGATTATTTTGCGAAATGCGGGCATTCATAAATCCATTTTGTAAAGAATTTTTTTATTTACTTTACCATTGTTTAGAAATTTTGTCTTTGATCTAAATTAGGGTCAGGAGAGGTAATAATCCTTTTAGGGGTTAAAAATTAAGTATTTAGGTACTTTTAGTAGTAATTTTAGTCCTACTAGATCTAATAGTATTCATTTAAGAATAAAAATCGGATTCCATC